AGGAATAAGGTTCATCTGGCGTCTGCTGCTGGCAGAAACAGGCCCGGCAATGCCGTACTTGAATCAAAGGTGCAGAATGGATCTGCTTGTTTGGGAGTTAATTTGATGACTGCTTTCAGGCTTCACTGGCGTTAGCCATGAGAGCACACGCATCATACTCCTTCCAGCCTGTAAAAGCAGTGTGGAGAATGGAGCTAACGTTCCAGCAGCCCTGGTAAGCTGGGGAGCATCATTGGTAACTTCCTAAAGGAGACCAAAGCAGAAGGTTTGTAAGAACAACGAAAACCATCACAGCCAAAGAGATCTGCAGCAGCGCACGCAGCCTGCCCAGACAAATTACCCACTAGCTACAAGTTCTTAGGCACCAGTTAGCACCGTTCAGAGCTCGTTATGAGCTATAACAAAGCTCCCTCTAGTGGTATTTAGTTGAATCACATTCTTATTACTAGAAGTTGGAATAATGAACTATTAGCTCTTTGCTTCAAGAGACAAGGGACTGTAAGAATTACACAAGGCAGCTCTTGAAGAAACTGTCTTCATTAAAAGTTTCTTGGGCATCATCAATACTGAAAACTAAACTGGGCAAAATAAGAAAAGCTGCTTTGTAACTGTGGTAACGGTGCTTTTTGCAACAAAGCCATCCTAGGAAAGATTAAAAAAAGGCAAAATACCCATAAACTCAAGGCAGAAATCCCTGTGGATTACATGCTTATATGCTACTTTTGGCAATATCCTTTATCTTTTGCAATTTCTTTTCAGTTGCTGACTTAGTTTTAGTTATATCCTGCCACTTGCTACTCACCTTCTTTCCTGAGGATCTTGGCTAGGAATAACGGGTCTTACATAAAGAAAGAGAACATTACTGTTTAATAGCTCTATTAAAATGGAGCTAGCATAGGAAGAATGCCTGGCTGAAAGGAAACATCTCAATGAGAAGATTTAATGCCTAATGCATGTTTAGTAGCAGAATTGGCAGGATTAGTAAAATAGACTTATCTTCTTAAAAGCATGCTGCTTTCCAACTCTTTAACGAGGCAGACAAAATAAACTAGGAAAAGCAGGCTAGTTATTTTCTTGCCATGGTTGCTGCCAGCACAGACTGCAACACAACTATCCTATTTCTTCTTGATTCACATAAAGTATCCTATGATAATACTGGATTCTGGTAGCAGTTAGATTCCTCTCAGCCTCAGCAGCAATAAAACCTACCTCTGCTTAGGAATTCTGTTTAAAAGGCAGCCTTACATGTAAGGATAATTCCTGGGAAATCTGAAGTCTGCAAGTGCACTGCACGTGTTCAGGCGTTTGGGATCACAGGGCTTCAAAAGCATGTTTTACTACTCCAAGCTTTTCTTACCTAAAATAACTCCGTTAAATCCAATTACTACAAGTGCATCCTTTTCACTCTCTTTAATTATTAAATGGAAGCAGCCAGCACATTATTACCACTACTTTGGCGATACTGATATCCATTTGTAAATGTTTGCAAATATAACCTATCTCGACAAAAAAAAAAAAAACCACATTTTATCTACTTCATATTGCTGTTACATTTGAGTTTCAAGTTTCTTTTTCTACAAATCAGAACTAATTACAACTTCTAGTACATACATTTATACTATGTGATTTTTTTTTCCTATAATCTATGCAAAACCACAAGAGAATAATTTATAGTGCAGAACACTCCAAAACAGTCTAAGGAAGGATGCTTTGTCAGCAAGAGCTGGTCTAAGCCAGAAACACGGAGAGCCATGCAAGGTATTTTAAGTCAGACGTCCCAGAGATGACATTTTAGACCATACGCAGAACGACTCGACATGCTTTATATACACACTGATGCACTGAGTTTGCAAGTTACACACAGCAGTGGAGTCCAAAGCTCTGTGCCAGCAGATACGGACACTGAACATTGCCCGGGATTAAGTCCGTAGCTCCCGAATCTGCATGGGGAGAGTCATGGTGTGAGAAGTGCCCACACCTCCATCTGATCAGGTTCTGCACCTCCTACTTAGAAATCAGAAGAGACCAACAATTCATGAAAGCATGATTAAAAATAGGTAATTTTAACTTCCTGCAAGTTCTCTCCTTATGATGCAACTTTATAATGTTAAAGCCTTTCAAACTCTGTTTATCTCTACACAAATGAACAGATGAAGTTAAAAATGTAGACATGTAAAAATCTTAGAATTCCATTTATAGTTACATAGAATTAGATACATATACATATATTGTTTAAATTACAATCAGGTCAACTGTCACCACTCTAGGTATAAACTCAAACTCTTGCTTGAAGCACTGCCAAATTTAACTGTATTTAAATTTGTATATAGTAAGCTTCATGATGGATAAAGCAAAACGTAAAGTATATTTTTCTATAAAAATTCACAGTGATATAACTAATGAGATATTTGCAAGTTGCAATCAAGAAAACCTCCATTAGGGTCAATGCTGTTTATGACTCATTTATCGGAAAACCTACTTGTATGAAATTCTAACTGAAGAACTGATATAAAATAATATATTCTCCTGCTAAATTGCACATTGTGAAGAGCAGGTCTCAATAGAAAATCCTATACTGCAAACTTTTTTAGACAAATACTTCTCTGCTTGCTGCAAAATGGCACTTAGTCTGCCACATGAAATCAAGTCTCGAGCTCTTGTTTCCACAGGAAACAGTGGCAATTAGAAGCTACAAATCACAATGACGTGACGGAACAAGGTATCTCCCTGGAAAATGGAAGATCAGGAACAACACTACCTGTAAAAAAACAGAGGTTATCATTTCCACTGGAAACAATGCAAAATACGGAATCATGAAAGACCACCAGCCTTTCACCCACGTATATAAGAAGATGGCCAAGAAAATGCCCCAAAGCTACTTATCACTAGGGCTCAAAGAAAAACAAACCAGATGATGTATTAAACCGAAGACAACTTCAGATTAGATAGCAGGGAAGTTCAAAAACAATGAATTACAAAATCCACATTTCAGTAAAGTGGCTTCTCTTTTGTGAATTGATTCAAATTTACAATCCCTAAAGCATTACTGAACATATTCATTCTTTTTGTGTACATATAGCTGGTATTTATCCAGTCTGCACCTGTAGACAAAAAAAATAGGAGAAAAATCCCAAACTGACAGACTTGAGGGAGAACAAATCCTCATTTGGGATCGAAACAGTGTTTTTCCCTGTTTGTCCTTCTTCCCAAATCATAAACTGCTAGTCAATTGAGACCTTAACTCTGACACTCCCATTTTTACAGAACATTAAAGCTCCTTATGGAGTCAGAAGACACAGGAGGAATTTTTTTTAAACATCTTCCATCTATAACAATACAAATACACCAGATGCTGCAACTGTTATTTTTAACAAGGATACTGAAAGAGTTGACATAAAGGAGGAGGGAGGGAATATAACACAATTCAGGATTTCGTAGTCTTTTTTTGTTATTGTAGTTAAAGCCATCACACTGTCAAATCATTTGAACATTCATTCTCATTTTCTTCAGCATTACTCTTGCTCTCACTTTGGTAGGTGGAAAGGAACAAGTTTTCTATTTGTGTCAAGAACTCTTCGGCAATGAAGCAGTTTGCTACCTTGCCCAAAGTCTTCCTCATGCATTCCAAAAGCTAGGTAAAAGAAAAGGAAAATTAAAAAGATAAAAAAAAAAAAAGAAAAAGAAAAAAAACCCCTATTTTTTCCTAACAAGATTCTTTGTCCTTTCAGCTAATAAATACTTGCTGATCTTTTTTTGCAGACTGTTAGTGCCTAATAACTGGCTATGTAACACGGAATTAAAATAGTCACTTCTGCAAAGAGTGGGTGCACGTTATTCTACAGATTGAGTTTCTTAAAGCAAATTACACAACAGCTAAATTCAAAGGAGTATAACATTTAGGCTGTTTATAAGAAAAGTCATGTTGGGAGATGGAGATTCAGATGTGGATAATTATTGCCTATGTGTTTTCTGTTTATATTTCTGTTTATATCATTTGCTTTGAGCAAATTTTCTGCCTTGTTTGTGCAATTAATGTTGCGACTTTATAGCAAAGACTGCACAGTCTAGAAATGAAAATTCTCACTTAGGCATGACAGACATGGCACAGCAACTACTTTGCTGATAGAACAGATGCTGAAGTCTGTATCTTCTCTCAACATGCAGGCAGCTCTCCTTGAAGTTGAAAGCAGACAACACGCTGAGGTGACACATCACGATTTCCCATTCTTTCTTCTCCAAACTGAGGTTAAAACTTAGCATGTCCTTAGCTGTTGTTCCCAGCCCTCTCAGGTGAGACCAGCTTTATTTTCACTGTGTTGGCAAGCAAATAAGCCACATCCTAAGTCATTTATTGTGATTAGTGTGTATCTGTGATTCCAAAAGCTGTAACTTCTGGTGACTCTTGATATATCAAACAGACTAATATTAAAACAAACAAACAAGCAAAAACAGAAAAAATAGAATTTTAAAAACTAAAATTACAAGAGACACTTACTTTCTGCAAACAAGTCAAATCAGAATCCCGATGAAAAATTTTATCCATGGGGACATTGCTGTTGAAAAGAAAATGAAAGTGCTGATGAAAGCAGACGTACAAGTTAATTGAAAAGATGATAATAAATATGCAAAGCTTCTAAACTGACTATCTTAAAGAAAGCATATCACAAGCAGACACATACCTATGAGAGAATCTGTATTTTTCAATTATCCATCTTGTTTTTTCAAATACTAACTCCCACTGAGGTTCTTCCAACATCTGCTGTACTTCGAACTTGTAGGGCAGGCCTGTAATTAATTAAATACATTTTTTCAGTGTTTCTGTAACATCTGACCTTCCTTTTTACTTGTAGGTACAATCCCTTCCTTCCTGGTTAACTGTTCAGCATTCATTAGTGCATAGTACAATCTGTACAATAAACAGGAATTGCTGCACAGCTGCGGTCAGCACTTCGCTTCCCCTGGGACTAGGGAGCAAGTCTCTGGGTACACAGTTTCCCTCACCTATTTGCACATGAAAAAAGAAAACGGGGAACTCTCACATCACACAATCTATCGCCTCGCTAAGAACATCAGAAAATTTTGAAATAAATAAATAAATCAGGATTTATACAGGAGGAGTGGGGAGGAGAGAAAAGAGGTAGAGAGCATAGTCATATATTATGCTGTGAATTCACCTTAAAACTTTGGGCAATGGCAATGAGCAGAACACTTGATTAGTGCTTCCAAAACATTAATTTCCCCACATGTATTCCCAGACTATTCAATAATAATAAAACACACTCTGTTTTCATGAAACATTAGTGACATTTTAAAGAAGTTTATTCTTAAGTTGGGATTCATCCCGTCACACCATTTCTGAGACATACTTAATAATTCATATCTGTATTTTCCTGGTCAGCTGATAAATTTGATCCTTTGACCTTTTGAAAGCTAAGTTAGTCAAATTATGCTGTTTTTTCATCCACCTCCGAGCTGCTACAGTGGCCAATCCTTTGCTATTACACTTTCCTTTGCTATTACACTTCCCTCTGGTCTGTCAAGAGTCTGTAGCAGCAAAGTTTAAGCA